CATTTCTCTAATAGCTAGTCAAGTTGACCATCTTTTCATGTATCTGTTGGCTGTTCGTATGTCTTCTTGGGAGATGTGTCTGTTCAGGTCCTCTGACCATTTTTTAATAGGACTGTTTGTTGTTTGGTGTTGAGCTTTATGAGTTCTTTATATAATTGGATATTAACCCCTTGGGGGAGCTGTTGCTTGAAAATATCAGGTTGGTTGTCTTTTTGTTTTCTTCTCAGTTTCTTTTGCTGTGCAGAAGTCCTTTAGCTTGATATCATCCCATTCATTTATTTTTGCTTTTACTTCCCTTGCCTTTGGGGTCAAATTCATAAAATGTTCTCTACAACCAAGGTCTATAAGCTTAGTACTATTTTCTTCTATGTAATTTATCGTTTCAGATCTTATATTTAGGTCTTTGATCCATTTTGAATTAATTTTTTGTACATGAGGACAAAATGTAATCTAGTTTTATTCTTTTACATGTGGCTTTTCAAGGATCTCAGCACCATTTGTTGAAGAGATTATTTTTTTCCCATTGTGTTTCTGGCTCTTTTGTCAAAAATTATTTGCCTACATACATGTGGTTTTATATCTGGGCTCTCAGTTATTTTCCATTGATCTTTGTGTTTGTTTTTCTGCCAATGCATGCTGTTTTATCATAGCTCTGTAGTATAATTTGAAGTCAGATAGTGTGGTACCTCTGGCTTCACTCTTTTTTCTTAGGAGTGCTTTGGCTATTAGGGGTTTTTTGTGGTTCCATTTAAATGTGATGATTTTTTTGTTCTGTTTCTTTAAAAAATGACATTGGGATTTTGATGACATTGCATTAAATCTGTATATTGCTTTGGGTAATATGGCCATTTTAACTATGTTGATTCTTCCAATACATGAAGAATGTGAAGTATCTTTCCATTTTGTTATGTATTTTTCAATCTCTTTTAATAATGCTTTGTAATTTTCTGTATATAGATCTTTCACACCTTTTGTTAAGTTTATTCCTAAGTATTTTATTCTTTTGGTTGCAATTGCAAAATGAATTATTTGGTTGAGTTTTGTTGTTAGTATATAGGAAAGCAGTGGATTTTTGTACATTGATTTTGTATCCTGCAATCTTAGTGTATTTGTTTATTGTTTCTAATGGATTTTTGGTGGAGTTACGTATTCATTTTTAAGAAACATATATGTGTAAAAATTTAAAAACATGGATGTCCAGCACTGTTTTACTGGTAATTAATACAAAAAACAACCTACGTGGGAAAACAGTGCTGAGACAGATTACATAAATTATGAAAGAAAGGAATTTGTTGCAGCTATTAATGACCACATTTTAGACAGGGACTTAGCAGTGCAGAAAAAAAAAAAAGGGTTGTATGAATAATGAGAATCACAGTTAGCAAAAACATTTATAGCACAGTGCCAGTTTTCTTAATGTGTGTGTGTACTATAAACAGAAGATGGGTGCAGATATGCAGGAACATTGATGGTTATCTTTTGCAGTAGCAGATTTATAAGCAATTTAAAATTTCTTCTTTGTGTTTTATTTTACAAATTCCTCTGAATTTAACATGCACCATGCTTAAAATCACAAGTATGTTTTTACACTCACATATTTGTGAGGAATAACCAATGTCATTGCACGTAGACCTGTTTTTCATATCTGTACCTGTGGATAACCAATCAGCTGATCTCTGTGGTTCTTTCTCTCTAAAGTTCTACAGAACAGTTTATGAAAAACAAGGTAATGCAGAGATGTGTACACACAGACAGACAACAAGGCAAAAAAACAAAAGGTGTCATAGAAAGAATGAGTTTCACTGAGAGGGAGTTCAGGTGCTTTTTAGTGGAAATCCCCTGTGGACCCACTCAAGGAGCCCTTGGCCTGGGTGTGGTCATCTTAGCATCACTGTCTTTTTAGAGTAATAATGTTGATTATGATGAATGTCAACAGGTATAAGTACAAATATAGTGCTTACTTTGTGCCAGGTACTGCATGCTGTTTACACATTTCATTTTGTATCTAAAGAATGTTACAGAAATTAAATGAAATGCTTAAGGTCTCATGACCCGTATCCACACTGACAATGTTCCTTATGTTTTCTGGACTTTTAATGAAATTTTATCTTTTATTTTATTTTTTAAATATAAGGGTTAATTTCACCATAGACATTTTTCATTCTTTTAAAGGAGCAAAGGAATTTCCCTTGTAACCTCAGAACTCCTTACTAATTTACTAACAATGCCTGAATTCCCTTTGATATTTTAAACTATCAGATCACCTGACCTCTTTGGAAAGATAACGGCTACCTTAATAAATTATGCTTGGAAGTTACATTGAAATCATTTATCATTTGGAAGCTTGATGTTAGGACAAAGGTGTGGGGGTAAAATCTTCATAATAAATAAATTATTGCCTTATAGATTTGTGAATGCTTTACCAAACCTTCACCAAATCTGATTAAAATGGTATAACAACTGTGGTCCCACTGGGAAAAAATTGTCTCAAGGTTGTAGCTTGCGTTCCCATGTTGCCATGGCTAGATTAAGCCAAGGATCTATGCTCTATACCCCATGTGACCAAAATGAGTAAAAGAACAGAAAATGGATCTTATGAGAACCAGGTCCTATGTAATGCACCATGGAACACAGAAGAAATGAAACCGCCTATTACTTAGGATAATGACCAGTTTTTCCCTAAATTCACTCCGAGAAGAAAAAGGGGTAATAGAGATGAACAATTTCAATTCCCTTTGAGGATGACTCCCAATAACGAGGCTGCTAAGTAAGGGAACAGAATTTTGAAAAGGACTTAAATATTTATCTAAACTCTGAATAAACAGATCTCTAGGAATTATTTTCTCAGGAAAAATAATACTTGCATAACTTGTATTATGCTAATCTTGGGTTAGCCTAATCTCTGGTGGAGATAAGTACGCTATTTATTTTTTTTTTAATCTGAGACTACAATGCAACCGTATCTCTCCCCTTATACAGAAGCTCGTGTAACAGACACTGTTACACTTTATAAATGTGGGAACAGATTTCAAAGGAGATTTAAGTTTTTTATGTTTCTCAAAAGATTTTTAAGTAGAGCACATCTATTCCAGTATTTTTACTGAAATACGGTCCCATCTAGCTGCAGGTATAAGTGGATTAGAAACTCAGAACTTTCATTCTTTTTCTGGCTAATTTTCTCAGTGAAGTCAACAAAATGTGAATGTTGCTCCAAGATCAGCTTGCGAGAGAAGCTTTTCTCTGAACTCAAAGCTTGAGTGAGTTTTTCAGATAAATGCTGAGTCCCAAACTTTAGACATAATCTGTTCTCGAAATTCATGAATTTTGCCAATTTATTTAATAACATTTGTATTTGGAAAGGATATATTCCCCCAAAACATAATGGTTACCCTATTACAATATAACAAGGAATTTGGGGACAATTTAATAATTTATTTAAGTACAATTTTATCATATCTAAGTTTCACACAAATTTGAATATTTAAGGTATTAAAACTGTAAAAAAATTCTTTTGTACTTTGGAAGGTCTTTTTCTCTAAACAATAATAGATCAGAACATTCGTGTGGACTAAGATGCCTTCTGAGGAAGCTGCAAATAAAAAATTCTTTCTGGGGTGAAAAGAAACCACAAATAAACTAAAACGAGCGTTTCCTTTTCCTTGTGTAATAACTGCCAGGCTGTGCATGACTTAGCCCCTCTGGAAGAAGGAATGTGAGAGCATTTCTCCTCCAAGAGGAGTCAGGGCTGGCTTTCCAGGGCTAGCTTCTTAGTTAAGAGAACTGTTCCAATGCCTGCCTGTTGCCTACATGTACTAGTACATGCTTGCTTTGTTCGCAGTACAATGTTGTTTCTGGAAAATCTGCCTTGACTTGACAGTTCCTTTGAACACCACCTCCTACGAGCTCTGCACCCACGTGAGAAACTGCCTCGCCGCATGCTCCTCCCCACGCAGAGCTGCCACACAGGAATGGCATTCTAACCGCAGTCATCAAATAAACCCCATGTTTCCAGCCAATCCACTGCTGTGGAAAACCGAATTCCACGCCACTTACTTTGTATATGTGAGATACGGCATGATTAAAGAGACTTAGCTCAAGTCAAGACCAAACAGCGTAGATGCATGTGATAGTCTATAGCTATTATAAAATAAAAGAAGGGAAGGAACTTTGAACAAAAGGGGAAAAAATGACCTAATCTTGAGATGAATTGTATTATCACCTCTTGTTTTATATAAGCACGTCTAGGACATGAGTGAACAGACAACTACTTTCAGTATGAACATACCCAAGCATCCCTGAGGACTAGTCTTGAAACAGAGGATGTTTAAAAAACAAGCTTTCAAGCCATAGCTAGTTATGTGATCAGGCTCCTACAAACAGCACTTACATTTTGAATTTCTAATATGATGAACAGCTGCCCAAAATAGCACATGTTTTTATTCTACTAAATGCAAAATAGACTAGATAGGCAAAACCAATTTAAAAGAGAAAATACGTATCATCTCTAGTAGGTATAATTCCATCAACAATTTTATTTACCTAAATTTATACTTTTTCTTTCACCTTCCTTTAGACTCTCAAGCTGTTTTATATAAACATGTTAAACATAAATTGGCACAGAGCTTCTTGTTTGCTGATAAAAGTATTTAAACTAAACAAACAAAAAAGTCCTACACGTATTAGTCAAATAATCTGTCTCTCTTTTATGTTCTTCTTATTAAGAAAAGAAATATGCCTGCACAACCAAACTAACCATCCCAAAGAATCCAAAATACACACACTTGCTTTGGCTATTTAATTTTACTTTACCTAAATGATTAGTTCAAGAGTAACAGAGAGAGAAAACCTCAGTAAAAGTTATAAAACAAACAATATAACTAACAAGCAGCACTTATCTAAGTGATTCTGTTGTTCAAAGAGTTAACATCTGCCCAGATCATTTCCTTTACATTTACCCCCACAGCAGCCTCAGACTTTGCAATTACCCTTCTTCTACATACTGGGAATTTGTTGAATCCTGTGGACAACGACAAAGGCGTCAGACAGCCCCACTTTCACTGGGTGATTGGTCGAACTTATCTGTGTGACCAAGACAGGAATCTGAAAAAGAAAAGGCAGATTGCTATATGTTAGATATTCATTTCATCTTGTTTAATGGATAAAATCAGGTGATGGAGATGAAGAACTAGAGAGAGAATGATGAATATTAGGGAAGAAATACATACGGTATCTAAAATCACATCCATTTAGTGCTAATTGATGGGTTAAAGTGATAAGAGAGTTCGGGTCCTACAGTGGTCTACTTGATGAAAACAATAGATTCTGAGGGAATCTAATGGATGCTGGACAATGCAAACTTGTCACACATATAGGTGCACCATAAATGCCTTTAGCGCTGGCTATGCTTTCAAGGATAGAAATTCTTCTTGCCCTGTTTTCCTAAAGGACTTAATTATAGATTTATTTTCACAGTTTTTTAAAAAAACCCTTGTTTACAAGTGGCCTTATAGATATAAAACCTAGAGAAGACAAATAAATGCAATGCTAAATACGTATTTAACAATATTATTGTTGATTACTACACAGTGATATTTGGATATTGTTAAAGGATGTGGAACTTTACCATTCTGGTTGAAACTCATATGAAGAACATGAATTACTATGGGTCATCTCAAGGGCACACTTCCTAAATTTGAACCTCACTGGAACTCAAATCTGAATAAGACAGACATTCCTAATATTTACAGTCTAAAAAATTAGGACACAGTGAGAATACACAAAACATAATACAGAAGTTATGAATGAGAAAACTATTGAAGTCTTTTTTTTTTCTAGACTTAGAAGAGTTACTATCTTTATTATCACTTTTATAGAAATAAAAATGGGAATGAAACCATCTTCAATAAATAAAGGGACAAGAGACAAAAAGAGAAAAATAAATGCACCAAAAAATCTTTAAGTAGGATAAATAGGTTGTGGGCCATCTGTGAGTAATTCATTAAAGAAAATATTAGATCAGATACTGTTGCACAAACCTTAAAAAACTGCATAGCAATAAGGGAAAAAATAAATTGGAGAGAAGATATAATAAGAGCTGTTCTACTTCTTTTTGCCCATGACATCATAAAATTTAAAAGGTTTATTTTGTTGAAATTGACCAATTAAGAGGAAATGTTAATGTTTCTGAAATTATCTTGAAACACATATATGGAAGATGACATTTTCCCTTTCTGTACTAAATCAGTCCTCTCTCAAACAATGTTATATGCCAATTTTACATCAGTATGTCCAGTTCTTAACCAGCATTAAAAATTATTCTGATATTCGAACAACAAAAATAAAACAAACAAAACCAAACCACAATTTCTGTTCCTAAGAGTTCATTTACTAAATGAAACTCTGATTACTTTATTTAGCTATTTACTAAGTTATATTCAGTATCAATATATAAATCCCTTTTCTTAAGGGGCATTATACTGTTCCTCAGTTTTATATTCCATGTGGAGGAGTACTAATGTAAATGTAATTATATTTAAGACAGACTTAGAGTTAAAGATGAAAAGACAAAAGGATAGAGAAAGTATAGGAAAAAAATCCCAATTCAGGTTATATTTTGTATATCCTAACAAGACAAAGTCATAATTCTTTTTTAAACAGTAGTATTATTAATAGATGCCTGCCTAGAAGTAAGTATAAAAGCTTTGCTACTGGCATTTGTCACTTGCTTTCACTCCCCACATCTATGACTGCAGGTTTCCTCTGCCAGGTGTGAAGTATTTTACCAGATAATTCTGTGATAATTATTTCCTCTCTCATCCCCACCTTTCCCTCCCTCCCTGTCTTCCTTCCTTCCATTCTTTCTTTTCAAATCACTTTCTCTTTATTATTATTTCTTTTTAATTGAATGTATTGGGGTAGCATTGGTTAATAAAATTACATAGGTTTCAGGTGTACATTTCTATAATGCATCATCTGTATACTGTATTGTCTGTTCACCACCCCAAATCAAGTCTTTTCCCCCCCCAAACTCAAAGCAGAATGTGAGTTTTTATTGCTGCCAATTGAAAAATCCTGTTATGTTATTACAAATATTATATTCATAATATTCACAGAGTTTGTTCTTCAGGTCGCACGTCTTGGCTGCTGCACAGCTCCTCGCACAGCAGCTTTCCCTTCTCTTTAGTCTTCCATTCTGCTTTTTCTATCACTCTCCCTTAGCTTTTCCCTGACCTAGCATCTTTCATTTGATCTCGGTTTTTCCACCTCTTTCCTTCCTTTCACTGCCTTTTTTATATTTTATCTTGAAATCAAACACTCTCCTCTGGTGCTTTTTGCCTGCGGTGGACTGACTGCAGTGCCGGGCTCCATCAGTGGCCTCCTGTAGCCACACTGTCTGCCTTTCTCTTGGTTGTCGCCTTCCACTCTCACTCAGGGCTCTGTACAGCAAAAGATAATGACAAATGCAAAGCAAAAAGGAACCTCGAAAAAGGGCTTGCACATTTCCACCTCCTTTCTCGGTCCCCTGCCACTGCCACGAGAATGTCCCCTGCCAGTCTGCTGAAGGTCTACGAGAGACACGTGGTGACTGACTCTCGTTCCAACAGAGATCACCCTCCACCAGCCAGCCCTGTGCCCATCCACCTGACACGTGAATGAGCCCTGTTGAGATCAGCAGAGTCTAACCCAGATTAGTGGCAACACCGAGTTGATCCATAGGTATCTTGTGAGAAAGAGGAAATGCAGTTGTATTAAATCACTACATTTTGGGGTGGTGTGTTATGCGGCCTTGACTGAATTGCTTTTGCTGTCTTTAAGGAATTCAAAGGTGATCATTGGAGCAGGAGCAAATAAAGGTGTCAAAGAAGGTGGGAGGTGGTGGTGGCAAGTCATGGGGAGCATGTATTCCCTGCAAGCTTTGGCAAAGACTTGAGGTTTTATTCCAGGCCATATGGGGAAGATTTTAGAGGGATTTGAACAGAGGAAGGACATACCTTTCCATGTGAAAAAGATCCCACTGGCTGCTGTGAGATCAAGAGTGTAGGGCCAAAGGGAAATAGAAAAAGAGTTAGGACAGCATCCCAGGTGTCCAGGAAAGAGATGGGTTGCTTGGACTGCGCTAGGGTGTAAGTGTGGGAGGTGAAATAGAACAGGAAGATGAATTCTGGATGAACTGTGAAGGTACTGCTATGAGGACATGCCACAAATTTAATAAGGACAGTGAGAGAAAGGGTAGAGTCAACAGTGCCACCAAGACTTCTGGTCTTACTAGTGGGAAAACTGGAGTCACGCTTTTCATCAGGGCGGCCACGTATGCACTAGGTTTATTCACCCTGCAGGCCATGAGAATGGGGGCTCTGGGTGTGCGGGGAAGAACCCGTGCAGCTCCGAAGAGTGCTGAACCTCTCTGAGACGGAGAAGACTAGCAGGAGAGGCTTGGAAAGGGAAGATAGCATTATGGCAAGATCCCTGCCTTCAAAAGCTTTTCTTTAAAATTTTATAGAGTTCATGAATAAGAGCCTAGGCTTTCTAAAACTGTGGTATTTTATCCTGATTAAATATTAAAATGAGTAAGAAGCTTTTGATTCCCCATATTTTCCTAGAAGCCACCCAGGCCTTTTACAAAATAATTACATATCAGGTTTTGCAAAAACCGCTTTCATCAATTGAATTAAATGTCTAATGTCATAAAAGATTAATGAGGAAGAGATAAATAACTCCAGGCTTTCTCATAGATTTCTTTCAGAAACATGTCTGCCTGTCTCCACCTGATATTGTCATATCATTTCCACTCTGCCTTCTTAGACTGTAATCTTTTTACTTCCAAATATCAAAGGCATGGGGTTTTGCTGAGAAAGGATCACTCATTCACTCCCTGCAGCCAGGTAGCTGAGCTGTGTCAGCAGCACTGTGAGCCAGTCAGACCAGTCCGCAGGTTTGCAGGCCAGCCTATAATTACAGGCCGCTAAGATGAACCAGGAATTCTGTTAAAACCACATTTAAAATGAGCTGCCTTTTGGTTAATATCAACAGAGCAATTGCATGAGTGTGTATAAATAAATTCTCTGATATTGAACAAAATTCGCACTAGAAGGGGTCTGCCATATTGTCACAATCACCTATTCTTTGGAGAACTGTGAGTGTACAGGGATTTAAAGTACACCGCCAGAGAAGCCGTGGCCAAGGATGAAGGCCAAGTTCGAAAACTCTAAAAACTCTGCTTATGAGAAGCAATTTTTTATCCTTTCTACAAATTTATATTTATCTGGAAAACGTATGTCCCTTAAGTTAGTTCCTGGGGATGTTAGGAAACAATGTGAAATTATACACTCTTAACTACATAAGCTTTTGTAAAAAAATAAATGTAGCTTCATTATTTTCATATACCTATAATAGTTGCCTTTTATGATTAAGGCAAAGCTAAATTTTTACTCGGCCTCTGTATGATTTGTAGTGAATCATAAATTTCTGAGCATGAGTTTTACAACCACATTCATCCACAGGATAGACACAGAAAAGAAGCATTAATGCCAGTTAAAATATGCCTGCATTTTGGCTTACACAAGCATTTATAAACTTTGTTTTTACGTTATGTTGATTTTTATCCCACTTAATAAGACATAGACACATTTATTATTTAAATAAGCATAAGTTTTTCTGTAAATGATACAGTGAAACAAATTAAACATAGATGCAGAAAAGAGTTGCAGTAACTAGACAGCATTAAGGCACGAGGGATACTAGGAGTCTTTTGGAGGAAGATTCAGAGTCAAGAGCTTCTCCTTTTCCTACACTGTGGTATCATTCACCAGGAAACAAGGGCCCAACGCAATTCCTAAAATGAGAACTTTCACATCTGTCTCTAAAACAGGGAGGCAACAGCGAGCTGCTTCAGCCAGAGGTAATGGGGTTTTATTTTCCTGTCCGTTCTGCCCTGCAGACCTCGCCAAAACATTCATTTGTTTCCATTATGGACCCAGCTAGCTCTCTAATGAGCAGAACAGCATCTCAGCAAGTGCTTGATTGTATAGCATGTGCGCCAAAGTACGAATCATATGCCTACCAGAAAAGAATTACTCTAAGCTCACTTTTGTCCACTCACT